AAAGATAACTTTGTGGCCTGAGCAATGGCGTGCTTGGCTCTTTCGAAAGCAGCAGTGGCGGCGGGGTGCAAAGTAACAGATTTCTCTTTGGAGCCAAGTAAATCGGTCAGTGGCTTCAAAATATCTGCACAGTGAGGGATGAATCGCCGGTAGTAGTTGATGATACCAATGAAACGACGAAGTTGAGTGATAGTTGTGGGCATGGGAAATGACTCTAAGGCCAAAATGCGATCGGGTAATGGTGAAATACCTGTGGCGTCAATGTGGTGGCCAAGAAAATCCAGGCTAGTAACACCGAATAAGCATTTGTCAATGTTCAAACGTATGTTGTAAGTGGAAAAACGTTCAAACACTGCTCTGAGATGAGCTGTATGTTCAGCTGGGGAGGTGCTAGCGACTAAAACATCGTCAAGGTAGGCGTACACAAACGGTAAGCCACGTAAAACCTCGTCCATGAAACGTTGAAACGTTTGGGCTGCATTTCGAAGACCAAAGGGCATACGCGTGAATTCGAAAAGGCCAAACGGTGTTGTGATGGCTGTTTTGGGAATGTCATCCGGAGCTACGGGTATGTGGTAGTATGCTCTTACGAGATCGAGTTTGGAGAAAATGTTTGTATGGCATAGGGTACTTGCAAAATCGTGGATATGTGGGATGGGATACCTGTCTGGGATAGTAGCGTTGTTGAGAGAACGGTAATCTCCACAGGGTCTCCAATCACCTTTAGATTTCTTAGGTACCATATGTAGGGGTGATGACCAATGACTCGATGAAGGGCGGATGATGCCGAGTTCGAGCATGTGTTCGAACTCGTGTTTTGCGATTTGTAGCTTATCCGGATGGAGTCGGCGGGGGTTGACATGGACAGGTGGACCTCTCGTCTGAATGTGGTGAACGACGGAATGAGTGACCGGTTGGGTGTACTGACATGGGTGAGTAAGGGTTGGAAAATCCCTAAGTATGTCAGCAAAATGTGAATCCGGTAAGATAACGCGGATACCTGTGGATGAAGTTGGGGCACTAATTCCGTTGACTGAGAGAGATGTAAGCGTGTCTAAAAGACGTTTGTGTCGCACGTCGACAGATAGATTGTAATGGGTCAGGAAATCTGCACCGATGATGGGTGTTTGGACGTCGGCCAAAAGGAAGATCCACTTGAACGCACGTCGCAATCCAAGGTCAAGGGTGAGGGAACGTTCGCCGTATGTAGCGATGCGGGTACCGTTAGCGGCTTGTAACGAGAAAGAAGCAGAATCGGGAAGTGGATTCTTATGTGGTAGCACACTAACTTCAGCTCCCGTATCTACGAGGAAACGTAGACCACTTGAACGATCGGTGATGTGGAACAGGCGACTAGTGCGAGGAGGGCCACAGACAGTCGTCGCCGTTACTGACTGGCCGGGGTGTTTAAAGGGGTGTTGGAACGCGGCTTGAAGGAACAAGGTGGTTGACACTTGCGTGCTTTTGGGCCATAAGATTGGTGATACCAGCACCAAGAGGGACGGGCACGAGATAACGATCTGGATCGTGAACGTGGTCGATGCCTGTTGATCTCTAACCGTTGTAGGCGATCGGTCAAAGCGTCAAACTTGGCTTGTAGGTGCGATATAGAAGCAAGAAGCGGGTCGGAATCTGTGGTGGGTGCAGGGCGGGAGACGGAGTTTACGGGGTAACTGGGGTATGTTTCGTGTATCTTATCTGCCATTTGGGCCAGCTGCTCTAAGCTGTGGTCATCAACGAAAGCGCTGATGACGTGGCACATGGAGGGTGGGAGTTTGTCGAGCCATAGTTGGGCCATGATCTCCTCTGCTAGCTTACGGCCGCAGAGGAGACTGCGCATGTGGCGAAGCATTTGTGATGGCGATCTGTCCCCAAGTTCGACGGTGGTGAATAAATCCCGCAGCATTTTGTTTTCTGATTTCCCTGTCCTACTTATGACGGCCGCTCGAAGGGCGTCATACGGATTTTCCTTAGGAATATCTTCCAACAGATCTTCAACTTCTGTTGCTACATCACAAGGAAGATGCTGGACAACATAGGAAAACCGGGTGACTTGGGAAGTGATGCGTCGGGTGGCAAAAACGGCGTCCACTTGGTGAAACCAAACCCTGGGGTTGCGTGGATTGTAGTCTGGTAAACGTATGCTAATCGCATTCTCGACTAAATCCGCTGAATCGAAGTGTGCCTCCATAAGTACCGGGCAAAAGAAACAAAATAACGATGACTTGAGAGGAAAAGCTTTCAAAAAATATCTAGAAATACTCGGGCTCACCAAATTTGTAGTGGTCTGGCTACCCAATAAGTTAGTTTACCAGGAGTGTGTGGCGAAGAAATAAAAATAATTACGCTAGTTTGGGTATACAAAAATAAAGAGATCAGACGGAACAGACTCACCAACAATTGTTCTCTGTAAAATAGTTCGTCGTTGGCCCAGGTCAGCGAATAAACAATAATCCAATCATGTTGGTCCAGAGGTCTTCTTCTGAACAGTTCCCACATATAATAGATTCCGAATACGTCTGTTTTGGTTTGGTACCCGATTTAGCACATGAGACTCGCAAATGACCGCTGCAAGCGCGAGCGAAATCAGAAGAGAGAGTCGAAGCGCGACGCTTGTATATTGAGGAACTACGTAGTGTTATATTGGAAAAAAAATAAAGGTACAAAACGCCACAAGGTGTTGTGCACCGAAGCTGATACATCCGAAAGATTTGCAGTATATATCGATTGCGCCATTCCAAGTCCCGGCTACAGCAGATAATCTGAGCGCTCAGTATTGCTAATTTTGTTTAGATGGCAATAAGGATGAGGCCTACATACGATCGATCAAACAGATTTATAGAAACTCAGTAGTCTCACTTCAACCACCAACATTGTTGTAAAGCGCATATGAAAACAGTGAGAGCCTTTCTAATTAATCGTCTGGATACATTGTAGATAAAACAGAGTGTTATATGGAGGCGGCCATTTTTATTTTCTACTTTTTGCGTGCTACGTTTAAAAATCAATACGGTTCTATTAATGCGACTAGTTGATATTCGGTTCGATATGATCATGCCCTGATTTGTGGTGCTAGTTTGGCTCTGTGGTTGTAGCCCGCAGTGTCCACCTGTGTAGCTTTACTGCGACGAGCAAAAAGTCCTTAAATCTTAATTCGCATGCATTACTGATTTTCAAGTTTGGAGGATGTTGCTGTTCAAGTCGGTAATAAAAAATCCCGCGCCTCAAACACCATTTCTTAGATCGGAAGACCTGAATTCAGGATTGAGGCCTACCTTAGTCGAAAAACAGTATTCGTCAAAGGGAACTGGTATATTACGTTCTAGGCTACAGATTGGCCTCCAGTTACCTAAATGCTTTTGATGACTGGAATGCTGTGAAAGAAGATTGTTGCACTCCCAATCCCGCATCAAAAAATGAATCTACATAACACAGAGAAAAGTGCTCTTATGGTACACCAACCTTGCCAATTCATTGACCAGATGTTGAGCTGCATATAACACGTGACCACCATGGGCACTATGAACACCTCACTGCGATCTGAAAACCCATCACTCAAAGCGCGCCATCTTGGGTGAATGTAAGAAAAATAAAAATACATAGCGTTGGGCAGCTGTAGAAAGTTTATCCAGTTTTGTATGATAGAGTCAGACGCTGTCCCAAGAACTAGATTCAGTGCCCTATGAGAAATACTGCCATTCAGCAGATGTTACGCAACATAAAAGAAACTCGATATGTACCAGAGAGTGATCTTTGTGTGAAAGTGAACGGCCTTCAGTAGGCTCAGAAGGCAATTGATAGGACTGATTCAAGGAGCTAGCATAGTCGCAATGAATCGCAAAGGGAACAGCGCGCAGATAATCGATCCTGAGTTATAAGTGGATAGAGGCGCTGGTGGTACTTCATAGAAATCCCGCAGCTAAAAGCAGCATCTTCCGACTCAGACCCTATCTTTTGTTTTTCCAAAATGAGGACGGACGAATGTGATCCAAACAAACGTTTTTGGAATCTGTCACCTGTTCCATTTTTTCATAAAAGGGGAGGTTGAGTGAGCTCTGATGGACAATAATTATTGCAGCGTTGGTGGCAATTCCTGCCATTATTTGTGATCTGGCGACTGACTTCACATAATGTAGAACGTTGCATAAGTAGCCTTGTATCGGTATGAATGATTCCGAAGACTTCCATCAAGTTTGAAATTTTATCAGCTCATGAATAGGCTTGTATTTCATTCCCCATGAGGAGCATGAGGGGACCGACAGATATTTGGGAATGAATCAATGAACAAAAGTAATTTTGCTGTGGTGAAGCCTCCTGTTGTGTTAAAGCTTCTTGACCCACGTGATCAGTTTGACAGGTAAACTCAGTGATGTATATTAAGATACGCCTGAAGAAAATAGTCAAGTAGGCCCACAGGATAGCCTATCCGATTCTGGTTAATAGGCCTGTTTGTTGATGAGACGGGCAAATTTCAGACATGAACGGATTCCACAGGTCTACACTACAACCCGAACATCTACAGATTCCTTCAGATTACCTGATTTCTTTTATAAGTAGTTCCCGATGATTGGGATTGCAAACCGCCTCTTAATATCTTACTAGTGGCGGGATTTTGAAGTCTATTATTAACTTAAAAAGGCTTCTAGGACGATCCCGACAAACTACCTCTTGCCCTCTGTTCACACTGGACATACTCCGTTCCCAGTCTCGTTTATCTGGGTGTCATAATCACGTTCCGAATCGCTAATATTGGCACATCTCAGGATGGATACCGGATAACATACTCAACAGTTAATCTGGAATACCAACTATCACAAATTGGCCAATAAGAAGTGTTTTTTTTCCAGGTTTCTATCGGAGAAAGAAAATCGGAATGGAATAAGTGGAATAAGTTCCGGGCTACTGAAGTTGTAGAGTCAAACGATGTTAACCTTCAGAAAGCAACAGTCAGCCACCACCCTGTAGTCTCTAGTGGGGCCCAAATATCAAATGATGTGGTTTTCTGGCAAAATTTTTATTCAAGTCGGAAAACAGTGCTTTGGATGAAAAAACAAACAGGAGAAATAAATCACAGCAGTATGCTCGTGATAAATCGGAGAGTCAATATATAAGGATCCATCGGTAGATTCAAAAACAAGGGAAGAAAAAAGGTTGACATTGAAACTCCGAACATAAAAACAACCGTTTTCATTCGTGAGGACGAGACGAAGTTAACATCCAAGACGATCCTCAAGAGAGGTATTAATTGATTGATCTAGCGCGCAGAAGATATGCTTCCCAAGTTTCCAAATGCTGGAGAAAAAATATGAATAAATATAAAACACAAAAATACCTCGAGAAGACAGTAACAAACAGAGACAGATAGCAACCACCTAGATCCACTTAATGAAGGAAATTCTGCTATAGAACAGAATGTTGGTAGCTCAGGTAGCATAGACGGTCGTTGGTTTGTTTGCTGAGCAATACAATTAAATTTCCCAGCTAAGCAAACAAACCAAAGGAACTTCTATTGTGGTCGGCCACAGTCAAATTATGCTGAAGACCAACGGCAAAAATCATTTGTGAAACGCTCAGAATGGTACATCAAACACATTTTTTTCGGAACTACCATCATTTGGCTGCCGTCTTCCGGGATGGGGACCCCGAGACGGACCACATCAATGGTTAGAGACATTATCAGACATGACCCAAACGCGCCCTCAATGGTGCCCGTGCATCCAAGCTATTGCCTTCAATGCATAGCTCCTTTTACACACGTCCCACTTGACAGCCCACTAACAGTGCTGGATTTATGCACCAATTTATCAATGCAATGCGCAGCTACCTACCCCCTAAATCATAGAACGAAAATGCGGCAGCTACAACCACTGTACGACGAGTACGCGGTTATTACAGCTGATAATGATGATGACTATCGTTTGGCGGTCCTTCGTTTTCTGACGTTGTCAACGACGGTGCCGGACAATCGCCGTACAGACCAAACAGGGCAGAATGTCTTAGCACACTGAACAATTCGGTGTGCTGGGCAGGCGACGGTGTTAGAAATGATTTCCAAAAGTCATCATCCGTCCTGAGGTGGGATTAAGTTGAATCACGACTAACCGCAGAACGCAATCCGGATACGTTCTGGGTTCGAAGCGTACACCGTTGGGTTTAACTGCCAAACTGTTTCCAGCGGTGTCAACAAAACACCACGTTAATGCCCTAAATATTGCGGTGTCAAACCAATAACGACGTTAGGAGTAACTTGCTACCACCCAGATGAACAAGCTGGCCAAGTGCGTGCCTAAAATGCGTTTCCTGAGTGGTTCAGCTGCTTTGATGACCCTTTGCATGCATTGTCGAGTTCAACTGTCCAGTAATACCCACTTCAACTTTTCATCCTCCGGTATCATTTCCCCCGGTTTACATTGGGTACACGGCACTCCGGTGGATGTACATTCGGCGTTACCCACCGGCGTAGTTCAATCTGATAGGCTAACCCGGAAACGGGTTGGGCCAGCTCACCTGTTATGTTCGCTGAGTTGGGTAATACGGTTGCAAGTGTTCGGTCATCAAGCGACGTGAAGTCATCAGTACATCGCACTTTAACAGTGCGTCGTAGTGTAGACTTACATAATGACGCACTGATGTCAAATTATTTGGTGAAGAAATGTTTGCAACGAAACTGCCAAACCCAACGCACAGAACAACATCAATCCATAAAACCTAAGTCACCAACTTTTCTCAATAGAGCGCGCAAGTTTAGCCACGATTGAAAGCCGCGTGGCGCTTAGAAAGCGACGCGTAATAAATCTTCATGAAACTTCAACGACATCCTAGCTTACATGCGTTTCCACTCCAAATACATCCCCAAGAAAGAATGCACTTTCTGCTGACCCAGTGGCGGGGATAACCAGGACACAATACAGCGAAAAAACTCCTCAAAACTGCTGGAATGTTCCAATCCCTCTTGACGCTGTCAGGAGAAATACCTGTATGCACACTCTACACGACTACCGAAACATCAAATTTAACTGCGACGAAAAGTGAAGCTCCAGGGGGCGACTCACTTTCTCCTGATTTTGTAGCATGACTTCCAGGAAGTCCGTAGCAGCTTGCTTTAGATCATCAAATCGAGTCAGATCTACGCGCTCCATCTCGACTTTTATAATGCTGGAAATGTTGTTGAAACGTTCCTGTTCCTGCTCGACACGTTTTGTGGTCTAAAAGTACACACAAAAGGGAGCAATAGGATCGGACGTTAGAAATCTGGATAGGACAGGTAAGTACGGTATTGTCTGAAGCTCATACGCATGTACAATTGCTGGAATTAGTGACACGATTGGGGGGGGGGGGTTGGGGTTCAACTGGGAT